TTTTTTTTCATATGTATCCGTATATGAAACTTCAGTTGATGACGTATATAAATCTTATCTAGATCAAAACTTAACATTATGTAATACATCTATATCTTTGAATGATTATAAATTAAAATGATACAATGCGTGTTAAACACAACTCAATGAATTCTAGTGATTAGTATAATCACGTAAAATTTGCCTACATAGATATCTCGAAACTTATTTTAGAAAACATAAATTTTTCAATACTGACTTCAGTAGTTGACTTTATCTGTAAAAATACGGAATATCTAACAATGATCGATGAACTGATGCATTCAAATACAAATAACACTAATGAAAAGTTTCTGGTAATGTTTTATCTTATTAAAAAAATATGATTAATAGCCTTTTACAAAACCTTCAACAATTGCTGAAAGTCAACAAACAAAATCAGTATTGTAAATCTTATCATATCCTTATGATTTATGAGCTTACTAACGACAGTAAAAAACTACGTGAACTAATAAATTTAGCTATGCAAATAATATACATTGAACAAGGAAGATAAATACTGATTCATTCATTATACAGTTTCTTATTCAGCTATGACAATATCAATAATTTTGTTTATATAAAAGTTTTATTATTATGAAAAATGAATTTTTTCTTAAAAATAAATTCCATTCTTAGCATCATAATAGGCCGCATCATCGTTTCCTGGAAAACTTTGTTGATTTCTCATATTTTTCTTGAATAAATTACGTTTAAGTTGTTGTAACAAATCTCGACGTGATTGGGCACTAGAAAGATTTCGTTTATTGAAGCCTATGAAGAGAAAAAACATAATGTTCAATTGTTTTAAAATGAATTATAATTTTTGATATTCATACGTTTTTCACAGTGTTCACCATAACGATCATTTGGACATTGACAATAATAAGTTGTTGAAAGAGAAATACATTGGCCAGTATTACAAATATATGGGCGACATTGATTTTCCGTATTACTTGAACTGTAATATTCTAAATAAAAGAACAAAAAAAATCATATCTAATAACTAACCATATTCACATACTTGATTGACAATTAGTTCCTAAAATGAAATAGAAGATAATACAATACATAGAACATATTTCAGACATTCAGTCTTACCATAATATTCATTAGTACATTGACACCAATAATCATCATGTACATTAAGACAAGTGCCTCCATTTTTACATGGTAATTTGTAACATGCATCAGCTAAAAAAATAAAACTATGATAGATATTTGATATAAAAGAAAAGAAATAATAACTTACCAATACCACAATGAATTCCTCGCCATGGACCTACACATCTACATTCATATGTTAATTGTCCTTTTGGTATACATATGCCTCCATGTTCACAAGGATTTAAAGCACATGCACTTGATGTTGAATATGAAGGTGAATATGTGCTTTTTTGAGTAGCAATTTGTGTCTCTATATTAGATTTAAAAAAACTAAATAAAAATTAATACAAATTCTACTTACTTCCAGTTGATGATGGATGAACTAGATTATCAAGAACACTTGGTGGTCGATTAGTTGAAACCGCATTTGATTCTTGAAAAAACAATCGTTTTAATAAATGATATTCATCATCACTATTACTACTGTCATCTTCTTCGTTATCTAAATTTTAAAATCTTGTATAATTAAAAATTTGAATTGGTATTATTGTTCACTTACTATGATATCGAATAGCAGTAGAAAATTCAACAATCAATATGCACAGTATAAAAGCCAATAGAAAGAATTTGCGTTGCGACATATATTATTACTTATAAATCAGTAACTTTTGTTATTTCGTACGTATCGTAAGATCTGATTACGAAAAGCAAAAAATGAAAGACAGATATGAAGATTTTATATGTATTAAGTTGTAGATTATTCTGGAGTAAAAATGAAAAAGACGGTTATTGACAATCAAAGGTAAGAAGAGACTTTTCGTTTTTCTTCTAGATTATACATTAACTACAGCCTTTATTTCTCTGTTGATTCTTGAAAGAAGAAAGTTATTAAAAGATTATAGACATAATATTAAATTACGCAGATTTCGATGGATGATATTTTTCTGTTACAATAAGACAAAAGCAATCATATATTATTCATTATTAATTCATATCTTGAATTTTCTAAGTTAATATTGATAGAATACTTTAAGATTCATGTATGAATCAAAGAGAAAAAAGATTTCTAAATTTTTCTAGTGCCACTTATTTTAAGCTTGATAAGATTTTTATTTTCATAGGAAATATTAGCAAATGATTATCTGAAGAGTCTTAAATTTATATTTGTTCGAACTTCGAAGTATTTGAAGCAAAAAAAACTATCTAAATATTTATTAGAAATAGTCACTGATTCTTATGTAGTGCATAACAATTATTTATATTTATGTCCTAAATCTTAATCTTTCAATTCTATAGATCGATAATATTTATTTTGCTTTTTACTTATGATATAAGTATTATTATACTATATGAATAATTCTAGATCATTTTTGACGATGATTCGTTTGTCTTAGTAAAATAAAAAGAATGACTATATATTCCATAAGAGTATTGGTACAATCAAGATAGACTCTATACGTTACATATTAAAGTTTAACAAAAGTTTGAGAAGAAAAAAAACTACCCCCATCTTAAGGATACAAAATGTTTAAGAACGATGAAAGTGAAAACTACAGAGTATGTAAAAGATACTGCAGAATATTGGAACGTAACTAAAGCTAAACTTACGTGATTTAGTGAAATGCTAAGCATAAAAAAGGAAGTAATGCAACTGATATGAAAAAAAAGACTGACAAGACATGAACGCTTCATGTTGCTATAAAAGAAGTAGAAAACTACAAATCATATTTATATGCACATCTACATAATAAATAATGTTGTCACCATTCATATCACAATGCGAAAATAATATTGAAATATGCATAAATGATTTCATTTTTATGATCGTTATAATGATAATAAATCGTGACTAAAACATCTAAATGAAGTCATTCCATATAACTCATGTAAACTTATTTAAACAACAAAAAAACGCTACTATTAAT